GAGTCCAGAGGAGGCCACAAAGATGCTCAGCGGGCTGGAGCACCTCTGCTATGGGGACAGGCTGAGAGAGTTGGGCTTGTTCAGCCTGGAGAAGGCTCTGGGGAGACCTTACAGCACCTTCCAGTACCTGAAGGAGCCTACAAGCAAGTTGGGAGGCAGGGAGTGGTATATTTTTACAAGGGACTGTAGTGACAGGACAAGGGGTAACAGGTTTAAACTGAATGCTGGGAGATTTAACTTGGATATCAGGAAGAAATTCTTCCCAGAGAGGGTGGTGAGGCACTGGAACAAACTTCCCCGAGAAGCTGTGGATGCCCCATCCCTGGAGGTGTTCAAGGCCAGGCTGGACAAGGCTTTGAGCAACCTGGTCTAGTGGAAGGTGTCCCTGCCCATGGCAGGGGGGTTGGAACTAGATGGTCTTTAAGGTCCTTTCCTGGATTCAGTGGATCCTAGAACCATAATTTCAGCACTTCTTTTTGGCATTAAGCAACTGAGAGCAAGCATGTACAAGAAAAAATTCAAACAGCATTCCAGGTATGAATCCCTTCACCTACAGGGTACCATTGTGATGAAGAAGCCAAAGGACAGCTGTGTTTTATGGATTTAATTTTGCTTCCACTACATACCTTAAAGTAGTCTTGAGATACAAAGGTGTTCCTCAGACGGTTCTCGGGATTAAACAGACAGGATACTACTGTTTGTATGCTCCTGTCCACAGACTTCTGAAATACAGTTATAGGTGCAGCTACAACACTGATTTTCTTAGTTAGACCACTACTGTGGGTATGTCACAGGGTTTACTTCGTATTCAGGATTCTTCAACCACCTTTGGTTGCCTGAGCTTTTTGCCCTTTTTTAATCTTTTAATCTTGGCAATTCATTATCACACTTAGATGTTACTTACAACGTAACAGTTCTGACCAGTAACATGCCAGTTCAGTTGTGGAACAGGCTGACAGCCAACACATGAAGTGTCCTTTAGAAAACTGACTTCTGAGCCAACTGTTGGCCAAACTGTGGTCAACTTTCACAAAACAAAGTGAAGGAGAGAGTAAAACATTATCAATTCAGATGTTCAAATGTTAAATCTGCATACAATAACAGGCAGGGCTATCTAACCTGCTTTTTTAGTACCTGCAGTTTCTCCTGTAATTCTCAGCAGATTAAGTAAAGCCCTGTCACTTGACATTCTTGCACTTAATGAAGTAGAACACCTTTTGTACAGCTCTCAGCACTATAGGAGGGCACTAATAATTTCAAGGAAATGTGAGGCTTCTGAAGTTATTATACAGAGAAATCAGATACAGTGGACTGAGCAACTGGCTAAAGCCAAAACCATAACCTGAATTTCTAGGATACTGGTCAGAGGCTCTCTTCACCAAGCCACAAAATCCTCACCTGCAAGCTTACGGGAAGAGGACTTATGACCAAAAACAACCCCAATGATTTTTTGAGAAAGCACTTACCTTTGGCGGACTGTTAGTCGACAACTGCGTGGGCTCTGGAATGGCACATTCTGCCTGTACAATTTCCGGATCCTCAGTGCAGTGATAGCTCACTGAAGTATAAACCTGTAGGTTTTTAAATATTGCAGTGTTTCAGTAATACTGCGAAAACATGCACAGCTGTGCTGTCATTGGTTCTCACCTACCCATGGGCTATGACAGCTTTATCTTCACATTTCTGGCAGTTTCAGAAGTGGGGAGAAATGCTGTATTCTGATCCATTTTATTAAGGCAGTTCTGCTTCCTGCCAAAAAGTGTAACATGTTCTAATAAATGTCTCCTCTCCCCACTGTAATCACTCTTTAGGGGTTGGCTCCTCAACCTACTCCCTCCGCGTACGGGTTTTGCCATTGAGCATAGAAGGCCTTCTCCGAGACAACCAGCAGGTAGCTGTCCAGAGACTAAGCACTGAAATCATATGAAAGAAGGGGAAGCAAAACATCTTCCACCACCCTTCCAAGTTGTTGTTCTCTATGCACTTCCTTTCTTGTCTGAAGCTTCTTTCATGCCAATATACTTAGGGGTTTTTTCCAAGATTTTAAACACTCATCCTGCTTCCCTCTGCTTACAGTGCAGCGTTGCAACAGGCACCACAGTGCAGAGTTTAATTACAATAGCAGAGGTTGCAAAAGCAGTTACTCTTTATGGAAAGATCCTTCCAGAGAGAACTGGCAGCTTTTACAGCCAATTTTACCAATATCTCCACAGCAGCTTAAGCCTTTTAACTTTTCAGGAGCAAAACGTTTTGATTTCTGCCCCCATCCCCCCACCCCCCCCCAGAGTAGTGAGATTTACCCAAACTTGACAGTAGTTTTCAGTTTCTTGCAACATCATTCTCAAGGATGTTATTTGTGATCATACACAGCAGCCACAAGGTGTTACCACCAGACACTCCCCAAAGCCACTCAACATCAAAACGGGTGTCAGGCTGATGATACCAGGAGATACAGAAGCCTACAGTGTTAGCAGACTGCTCCTTTCTGAGCACCGTCCCTAACCATCAGAAGGGGTGTCATATCTGACCTCATCACAACTGGGGCATTCCATTTAGGAGTGGCAATTGCGATTATCCACCAAACAAGTAAGTAGGTTATAAAGCAGTCAACTGAAGGATGAGGTTTTCCATCTCCTTATGTGCCTGTCCTCTTTTGAGTCTGTAAAGAACAATACTTAACTGAGACTTAACAGTCTCTCAGCTGAGATAGCTGGAGAGAAGTTTTCTGCTCATACAATCAAGCTCAAAAGGTCTGATGAAAACTACCATCCACACCTACTCTAAACACTCTTTGGCTTGCTACCATTTAATTGTTAAGTGATACTTTGCATCTGTAGCATGTTCAGATGTTATTGAACCAAAATTAATTCAAGCCAACAGGGTAGTCAGTAACTTCCGAACTCTGTGTCTGTTTCTGCCCCCTTTAAAACAAAAGGTAACTCTCACTAATGGAGCTACAGACTGTCCATGGTAAGAAAAAGGCTGCTTCACTGCTGAGAAGCTGAAAGCCAAGCTTAGTGCACATCATTGGAAGTGAGCCTGAATAAAGTATCCTTCCTAATACAGTCAGACACAGAACTGTTAGGTGTGTGCAGGCAGCAACACAGACGCACAAAGTTTCATTTTCTTCATTTTTCCCCCATCTACCTTCCACACATTTTACAGACCTTATGGGAATTAGCTTTAAAGACTACTGTTTGGAAGAAAATTAAGTATTACAGCTTTTTAAACGCTTATTAGGAACTGTACTCTACAAACACAAGCTTATATCCAGAGAACACAAAAATACCTGAGATGAAAGTTTAAGTTGCAACACTTGAAAAAATACTGTAGTTTTTCCTCTCCTGTGGATGTCACTTGTGTAAAGTTACAGAAAGCAAGTAATTTCTTTAGATGCCACCAGCACCATCTACAGCCTGTAACAGCCTGGCAAAGCCTTTAAAACCACCACCAAACAGACACCCACCCACTGTTGAAAGGAGTCTCTCAGAAAAAAAACCAAAACAAAACAGTATTTGCAAAGCAAAAGGCCTTAAAAAACTCTAATTGTTCCAATTTTTTCTAAAATTTAAGTAGTAATACTGTACAGGTTAAAGGCAGAATTGTGCATCAGGTCTTCACTTTTTTTCCTTTGACTTCTCATGGAAAACCAGTTCTGTTCATGTTAAAACTCCAGAATTATGGGATCAGAACATAGGGAATAATCCCATAAAACAGGTAGTTCTGTTCTGCAAGCAACTCCTGAAAAAGCACCATGTCAGTAGCAAATCCTGAACAGCTACCTACTCTGCCAGCAGCTACAGATTTGTACAGACCAGGTTACATACACATCCAGTCCAACAGTTGGATTTTTTTTGCAAGTATCAAGCTGTAGAAGCAGCGTGTTAACTGAGAAGACAAAGCTCGAGAAGTTAAACTTTACAGACTTACCGGAGGCACAACATAACTTCTTTGCTCCCCAGCAACCCATTGTGGTTGGACCTTCAACAAGAATTGGACAAGAATTAGCTGTTACTCATTTTCAACACAGGCAAAATAACTGCTAACAGCCATCATTTAGATAACATCTCATATGTCTGAATTTCTCATTAAACAGGTTACCATCTTCTGTCCAGCAAGGTAGCTTTTTCATGTGTACCTCATGTAGTGTTTAACATAAGGTCATCCCTACCACAAATACAACTATATCCTTCCTCTTCTCATTCCAAGTTAAAAAAATAAAACTAGAAAACAAGGTTTCTGACGATTAGGAAGATAAGAGAGATGGCTGCAGCCATACGGAAAACATCTCAAACCTCTAGTTACTTCCAGTTATTAAACTACTATGTTTTCTGGGCTGTATCAGAAGCGTGGCCAGCAGGTCGAGGGAGGGGATTCTGCCCCTCAACTCTGCTCTTGTGAGACCCCACCTGAAGTGCCACATCCAGCTGTGGAGCCCTCAACATCAGAAGG